TGGAAATGCCTGCTTCCACCAGTTGTTGAGCTTGCTCCACTTTCCCTACAAACAACACGACAGCTCCTCTCATTCAAATTGCTGACTTGATGGACCCATGTCCAATGACCTCCCCCCAGCCCAAAATACGTGCTCCATGCTGCATGGAGAACCAGCACCCACCTTGATGCCATTCTTCCGCGTCAGCGTGGAGAAACCTCCAACAATCACTACCATGGTGCTAGCAGCTGCTGATCGCCACACCCTAGACAAAGCCTGTGAAACCTCTAAATAAGTTATCCAAAAATCAAATAAACCAATGATATAAACAGCACACCCAGTGAAACAATAAAGAAAGCCAAAAGATATGAAAAAAGACACTTTCACTCTCACCCTCTCTCGCTTCTCCTTCAGCCACACTCCTCCAACATGAAGAAGAAGCGTTTACATTTCAAACATTTGGCGGTAAATTCCTGTGGCAGATAGTCTGGCCTCCATTTCACTGTTATATATTCTATGACCTCAGAGCAGTAGCTTTTTAGCAGTCCACAGTTTGAACATCGACCTTCATTCACATACAGACAGAGTGTCTCATGACCGTAAATTATGTTTACATAAGGCTGTAGTTTTTAGAACCAAACTGCCCACAATAATTTTAAGGTTTTCCAAAACTTCTTCAGGATCATAAATGACCAACAGTAGATGTCATGGTATAAATGCTTCTTACTAAAACAATATATGGTTATTTATATCTCTAACAGAAGAAGAAGAGAAGTGCATCAGGGTGGTACTAGTTGGAAAAACTGGATCTGGGAAAACAACATTTTGGGACAAAAATGATCACTGACTCCTCCTCAGTAACATTGGTGTGTCAGAAGGAAACAGCTCCAGGTCTGTTTGATACGCGTATGCTTCACAAGGATATCAACAATGAGATTGCAAGATGAATGATACTCTGCGCTCCTGGTCCTCACGTCTTTCTAGTTGTGATCCAGCCAGGCAGATTCACAGATGAAGTGCAAAAAACAATTAAATTTATCCAGTTGATTTTTTTCGAGAGAAGGCAGCAAATTACACCATGGTGCTGTTCACTCATGGAGATGATCTGCAGGAGGACGGAGTTGTTTAATAATTTTATAAAGAAAAACCTATCTCTCCAGAGATTCATCTCTAAGTGTGGTGGAGAGTATCATCTGTTGAACAACCGATCCAAGGATCCGTCCCAAGTTAGAGAGCTGCTTATGAAAGTTAACAGGATTGTTCAGCAAAATGGAGGAACCTACTACACCAAAGAGATACTCCAAGAAGCTGAAAGAGTCCAAATAGAAGCTGTTCTGACCGTCATGAAACAAAACCCGGGAATAGGTGTTAAAGAAGCAATCAGAAAAGCAGAAAATTTATCTCAATGGGATGTTTTTAAAATGTTTATCGAAACTCATGGGGTCCAATTAGGTTACGTTCTAATGGGAGCCTTAGCAGGAAGATTGCCAGCATCAAAATGATGTTTGCAGTAGGATACAATACAGTGATAGTGATTGCGTCTCTAAACCTTGTTAATGTGGAGACAAGGTTATTATCTGAGAGTTGTTCTAATAATTAGCAATATAGGGATTCTTAAAAGTTCAAATCTATATGATTTTAACTGAAATGAACTTAGAATGTGTTCTCTTATTTTAGTAAATCATCACTAATAGTGATTCTGTATCAGTTATAGCTCACTGTTGTAAATCTTGAACCTCTTCTCCCACATGATGAGGTTCTGTTAAAGGAATAGGGGATTCATCTGGGTTTTTACTGTCCATGTTGTAAACCTAAAATGCTAAAAAAAAAAAAAAACTGAATTTACTATGTATCTTCAAACATTTGGATCAATAAATTAATGTCATTAAATAATGTGGTGTTTCTCTTCTCTTTTAAACCCCTTTAATGTAGCTGAAAGGAGCCAAGGCCACAAACCCGAAAAAGCTGATCAATCCTGCCTTAGCAATAAGTTGTTTAAGATAAAAGAATTGAAGAGTTATGCCTTGTCTAATCTGGCATAGGTAATTGGAGGTGAGGCAACAAAGCAGTTTGCTTAAAAGTAAACTGAGTTGTTGGAAGGTTTGGAGGAGATGAAAAACATTTCTGACTGGTGTCCAAAAACAAACCAGTCAAAAGCACCAAAAGAGGCACCCATTTCTGTAATGCACTGGAGTATTTATGTGCTTTTAACACATCAACAAAAAAAGGACATTGGTTGTTCCCAAAACCAGCTAGTCCTGTCAATTTATGTGAATATACAAAATGTTCATAGGTGTTTTATCGAAACACGACCAGCTTAATTGTACTAGAGAGCCAGTGATGGTTTGTATTTGTTAACCTAATACAGATGTTATTTAAATGAGGACAAAATTGTTTATAAGGACAGCTCCAGCATCGTTTGATGTGTAGCAACATCAAACAGTGCTTAAGCTGCTTTTGGTTTAAACCATAGCAGGTGGGTTTCTTTGTACATGTTCGCACAAGCTAAGGATCTTTAAGATCATCATTAAAAAATAATACAAAAATAAATGAATGCTAGAACTGTAAATATACAGTTAGATATTTATATTTGTAAAATATAAATATAAAGGCAGAAAAGATGTGGATCTATTGACCAACTCAGACACATCCAGTTAGTCAGGCCTCCACTCAAACACTCTCAGGATCTCCAATTTTCAATCACACTCCAACTTCGGATCCACTCACCTCACCTTGATGGTCCAAACCCTCATGCACAGTAAGACAAGGTGATTAACTCATCTCAGTATTAAGTGCATCTCAAGCCACTTCTCATGATTTCTGTCCTTGCAGCTTCCTGGCCATGTCCCTCTGACTTTTGCAAGTTGCGATAAAACCCAACAATATTTTCGCTAATGTGACTAATTTGGTTTGATATAGGTTGGGTAAAAACACCGCCAAATTAGATTGATTGGTTTAGCCAAAAGATTGGTTGGACACAAAACTTCCAACCTTATTAAACTAAAAACTGTGGAAAACCTATTATGTTTGAATAAAATGACTAAAACATTTTTTGGGATCTGGAGCTGTACCACCTTCCTCCAGCAGAGTGCGCCGTGGGTCTCCTGGAGCTGGAGTCTTCTAGCACACCTGAGACTCATCTACTCATCAAGAGACCTGCCTTTTATAACCAGCTGCCAGACCTTGCTTCGACGCCGCAGTGTTGACCTAGTTTGGTTAGCGACCTGAGCCTAGAACCTGAAGAATCTTAGCTATCTCTAGAGAGAGATCTGATTCTAACTCTCCCTTGTTTTTGCCTCACAGGAAACCTGTCTCTAACCCGAAGCTCTGGATGAGCTTAACCTGCCGAGATTGCCCTCGTGAGCCAAACCTGAAGATTCCTGTGTGGATTCCCCTGCTGCTCTTAGTTAAGAGCTGGAAACTCTGATCAAGGTCTGCCATTAAAGTCAGAAGCAAGACGCTGCTGCTGCTCTTGGACTCTGCTAAACAAACAGTCTCTGGACCCAACGGTTCCCTCTCTCTCAAAGAGAAGCCCGGACTCTGTCAAGGTATACTCTTGAACTATCAAAGACTCATAACTCATCAGCCTGCTTCCTAATCAAACTATCATCTCTGCAGACTTCAGTGAACCACCCCGGACCAGTTCCTGATCCAGTTCATGATCTTGTGTTTGTGTATAACTCAATAAACTCTGTTAAACTTTTACCCAGCCTCCGTTGTGTTCTGCATGTGGGCTAAGAACCTAAGACCCATCATGACAACATTTAGTTTTGCTCATCATTGCCCAATTTGCACAAACACTTTCACTGTCTGCTTGAGCTTATTTTACTAAAATGGCTGAAAAACAGTGTACCTTAAAGTCGTAGGGAAATCATATTTAAATGTCAAAACATTTTGGCTTACACATGTATATAAATGTACTCTTTATCAGACTATATTGTCCAAAAATTTAGAAAATTTCTATTTAAAAAAAGAAAAATCCTGTCTTAAAATCTGTGGGGGGGTTTTTTTTATTATCTTATGCAGGCCAGTTAGTTATATGTCAGCCTGAACATCTACATTCGGCCAATCATATATCAACGGTCATCTGTCAATCAAATTTTTTCGGTCATAGCATCTTGATTCATATGTCGCAGCTAATATCCGCAACGGTTGAAATAATAAATAAGAATTATTTCCTTTCCCATTGAGTTCCGTCCCAGTGTTCACGGGGATGGATGTCTGTGTCTTCAGCAGGCGTAGAGCTAACAGAACTGGCAACATTGCGAGGCAAGGGCTCAAACATGTACGGCTGGAAGCCTTCTACACCAAACCAAGCTTCTGCCACCCTGGCGTCCTCTTCCACATCATCTTCGTCCCGCTTTCCTCCTCTAAATAAGAAATGTATGACGGAAGAGACTCATCCATGACAAAACTCTCCTCCTCTTCCCTCTGGAACTGCCAGTGCAGACATGGTGGATTGGTAAGATCTGGCTCATAGCTGGCCTCTTTGTCTGTCGAATATAAGCCACTGCCTTATAGCATGAAAGCAAACCCATTTGAAGCAGGAAATTGACTGAAATCATTTGACTAAACAACAAAAAACATCAATTAGCTTCTGATCTGAATGAGAAGGTCCATAAAAACACAGAGGGAATGTTGTTGAATTAGTAATGACCTGGATGAGAGAAACTCCTCTGACCCCCCACCCCCTGCCACACACACACTCTAACCCCCCATACACACTTTATAAAAGCATGACGAACGTGTCTCAGAGTCTCTGAATGTATAGAAGCAGACTGAAGGGAGGCAGGGAGGGAAATAGGAAAGAGAAATGGGTCATGTTACAGAATCCTGCTCTGCTGTCTTTCACAATATAGATGTACAGAATTAGCCTCGTTCCCATGGGCTGCATGAAACAAACACAGCAAATACTCCCTGGATGGTTGTTTTCAGTCTTTCCATGGCAGGGAGTCCCGCTTCTCCTTGCTAGTGTGTAAAGGATGATAAATTATAAAACATTTGTGTTTCTATTTTTTTTATGCCCAAGCTGCAACCATACAGTCATAAAGAGGAAGAGGAGAAGGGAGGAAGGAAGGACATCTGGATCGGCACATTTCAACAGAAGCAACAATAAAAACACATTTCAGCCAATTTCATGCTTCTGAACAGCACTAGCTCCCTGCTCCTCATCCTCCATCCACTTAAAGCAGTCTCCTTCTTTTCCTGTTGCCATGGAGATTGGTTGCCAGGTACAGTCAGCCTGAATGGGTTAATAAGGAGGTGGGGCATCTGCAGCTCTCCAGATGGTAGTAAGTCCCTCTCTAGGGACCCTGCTCTCATACAGAGAAAGCCTCAATTACTCAGTATTCACCCCCTCAACCGTCGATGCCAGAGCTGCATTATGACCTGACAGTCAACAATGAGGGATTATGGGAAGTGTGCCTGGAGAGATGCTGGATCTTCCCCATAATCTCTGTTCAACATGGAGGGATTGTTTTTCTTTTAGCAACTGATCTGACTGGAGGAGAAACAGGAACAACCAAGAGCACGCCTCACCAGTTCATTCAGTTTGTTTACATTTATTGTAAAGCATCATGCAGCATAGATTGCTGGTTTCCTTCTGGGTTAGTAAAGTTAACTATGAATATGACAGTTATCAAAATATATTACATATAACTTAATTCAAACCTTTTACATCTAATCAACAAACATGAAGCGTTACATTTCCTATGCTTTAAATTTTTAATCGTCCTAATACATTTTCATGACCACATTTCAAACCTGCAATTTTGAGTCAGATTTGGTCAACTTCAACAAAGACAAAGGTATAAAAAAAAAGAATAAATGTAATTATCAAATTATTCAAACAAAAGCCTGTTTTTAGCATGAACATATTTGATACAGTGAGGGGAACAAAAACAGCTTCATGTAAAATGACCTCAGAAATAAACACAACATTGACCCCTAGTGGTGATTCTCTGTAACAGCTGCAGCACTATTATCATTAAGTGTTGAAAACCAGATAGGTGAAGTTCTCCTGCTTGGGTTGGACGTTGAGGTTGTAGTTTCCGATACGGTTCCTCTGGCAGTAAAACAGGCAGATGAATCCAACGATGAAGAAGAGAAACAAACCGACTCCGAGACAGGAGAGGCCAACTATGTGAAGCATGTTGAGCTTCTCCTCCAGGGACTCTGAAAGAACATAACACAAACATTACACCAATATAAGAGCACTGGAAATGAACATCTTTACAAGAAAATATTAATATTGGTAAATAGATGTGGTCAACGCTAACAGAATGTAAAACAGTCACATGTTCTCTAAAAGAGACCGTATCAAAGTGCTCACCATCACTGAGTCTGAGTAGAGGCCCAGATGATCCAGTACTTCTTGCAACTATCTTCCCACTTTGAGCTGTTCTCTGTAAGCAGTTCTGCAAGAAAGAAAGATTACTGCGGCTTCCTGGAATATTCCACACCTGATTTTCAAATAAATCTTTAGGAGGCACTCACTGGGACACAGGTGTCAGAGCCAATCTGGACACAGATCTGGACCTGGCAGTGCAGGTAGATCACATTCAAGTCAACAAAGGAGAATATCTGGACAGACAGGCGGGAGCTGGTGGAGTTACCGTTCATTAACACTTCAGTGTAAGAGTTCAGAGGACAGCTGTGGAGACACAGCAGAGAGAGAAAGACCATATGGAGTGAATTTGGGTCCAGTATTGTTGCAGGCAAAGAAAAATGCAATCCAAAAATTAAGTTCTAAAAAACTTCTTAATGAAAGAAAAAGGTCTAGAGAGTAATTTGCTTTTTTTTTTCAAAGTATTTCTTATTTTTTTATATTTTATTTTGTTTTTATTGAAATTGTAATTATTCATTGATTTATTAACTAGTTAATTTCTCTTTTTCAATCAGAGTTTTACAAATTGCGTTCCTTTCAACATGCGTTTTACAGATGTTATTGCCTTCACTTCTCGGAGCGGACCTCTGAAGGGATTAATGGTCTGCTCGGTCATTAGCAGAAGTGTTTTTATTGTTCAATGTGGGCAACAAGAGCAATCATTATGATTTGACTTGAAGTAAAGGGAATATGATCTGTAAGGAAAGTTGAAAGATTGCAATCTGCAAAACTCAATCTAAAAAAGTAATTTCAAAAACAAAATCTAAAAACAAATGTGAAAAACATTTGAAAAAATAATATCTAAAAAAAAAGCAAAGTTATTCTCAATATTATATATTATATATAATCCTTTTTGGATTAAGAAGTTTTTCACTTTTTTAACTTTGTATTGTATTTATTTAAAATTTCCATTCACAAAACAACTTCTTTGCTTGCAACAATAATGGAAAACATGTCACTCCATAGACTGATGACCTTTGGCTTTATTGGCATAGAAAATGCTGATCAGTTATATTTTAGAATATTTATAATGGTTGACCTGCAGCATAATTACTTACAAAAAGAGGCTGCCAACCAAAGTACAATCAAGTGTTTTATTACTCATTTACAGATTTAGTCAAAGGGTAAACTTGCTGAGTAAGCATTGTTAGATTATATTGCAGGCAGCTAATGGCACTTATCGGTCAGCTTCATATGAACTCTAATAAGCTCTGCAGCAGTTTTAATTATCTCTATTTAAAAAAAACAGCGTACTGATTGCACAAGAACCCCTTCATGTTTAATGGATAGTTTCCTTATAAAATGGTGTCAACATTTTGTTTATTTTATATTTAACAACAAAATAAATCGCCTAATACTTCAGAGGTGTTGGGGCCATTTAACAGAAGATGTATGGAGCGTTATGGTATCGCTTTCAACTGCTCTTTTTATGATGCATCTTGAGTAAAACTAATAAATGGAACCGGGCTAAATAAAAAGTGATTGTTAAAAAACATTATTTTCATTTATTTATTTGGGAATAGTTAGGTTTCTACCTAATGGTTGCTTTTGGGTGTTTATTCTTGCCATCAGAATAAACATGGAAAATATAAAGGAGCTTCAGCTGCAGATTCTGGCTGCTAAATCCTGTGAAGCTCATCAGTAAACACTGTAGCTTTAAGAACTTTCTGGATCATATTATCCGGTTATAACAATAATCAACGACCAAAAAAATAAGTAAAAATTCTAGCCTGTCTGTTAGAAGTCCATATAAAATAAAAATTAGACCTTTCTTTTGTTTTTCTTTTTTTTAATTGTCATTTTAATGATGAATTAGATAAAAGTAGTTCAAAGTGAGGAAAAGTAAATGTTGTGCACATGTGGATGGAACCATTGAGCAGCAGAAGCAGCAGACCTGTTCCTCAGGAAGGTGTAGCTGGAGGAGTCTGCAGGGTTTTTGGTGGGAGTGGCCCAGCATTCGTTTATGACCACCTTCATCTGATGTGAGCTGCTGTTCAGACTGACCTCCAGCACCACAGCCTGATCATGGGACAGGCTGTAGTTATTGGGCAGAGGCTCGGTACCGTTCATCAGCTGCACCGCTACCTGGAAGGATCCCAGACCCGTGATCACATCTTTGATCATGTCATACCTGCAGATGGATGGGAGCAGAAAATGTACAAGTGAGACAAACACCATGATGATGATGATGATGATGATGATGATGATGATGATGATGATGATGATGATGATGATGGACAGGTTCTGTTAGTGTGAGGACGCCCTGTGTAATTTTTAAAACACACATCCACCTGACACTTTCTGTTTTTATTACAAAATTCGGCTCATTGCGAGGAGTTTAACATTTAAAGAAACAGTGATGTTGTTTCTATGAGATAAATTAAATAATTTAATTTGAATGAATCCATGAACTGAAAGGAGACGCTGAAGAACTGCACACCGACTCCTATAAACTGATTCACTATTTGATGCTCAACTAATCCATGTGTTCTTTTGTGAGCTATGATTAAAGCTTTGGGGAAAATTTCAAATAACACAAAAACACCTCCAGAGGGCGATGTTGACAATGTTGTTGGTTTGAGGAACATCTACATCAGGGGTCACCAACCTTTTCAAGGCCTGCAGGCAACCTAATGGCTACTACGTCATAGGAAAGGCTACCAATGCTGACCTATATACTGGAGGGGTCAGGGTTCACCTAAACGTTATTCATAATAAACTGATTTTTATTGCTTCTTTTAATTACTAATTTTCTTTCATTTCTAAATCATGATAAATACTTAAATGCTCTATAAATAATTTAAAAAGAAGAGCAACAGAACCAAATTAAATTTCAATCTGATTTGTTCTGTTTTCAGAAGACGCTCAGGGCCCCACCATGTGGTCCTGGAGGGCCCCTTGGTGCCTGCCTTGGTGCCCGCCTTGGTGACCCCTGATCTGCATACGTAGTCCTGACCTCACAGGGTTCCTAACGTGCTCCATCTTTCTCTGACAGCGACTACGGATTTAAGGGACGGCCATTAAACAGGCGACACCTTTAGATAACAACCATCTTTTTCAGTATCCTGAGCAACATTTTAGTATTATTTGATACTTAAAATAAAAATATAGCTTAATAACACATTTTAAAGAGTATATGGATACAGTGTATACCTTTATACACTCAGTATAATCAGATAATTACGATAAAAATCGTAAATGAATTAGAGTATGTGTTCAGATGCAGGTTTCTAAAATAAAAACCTTTCAGCAGGTATTAGGAACATCTTTTATTTAACCCATTGTTCTGATTTAAAAAGTTATTTATTGCCAGAATCTTTTATCTTAGTTAGAATTTTGCACTATTTACCAAAGAGTAATGATTTTTTCCTTCATTCCCTGAAGATTTTCCTGGATTCTAAACTTCTTGACTGACATAAATTCACATCTGTCTGCATCAGAAGGAACACCTCCGTATCTGCTGATCTGCTGATATCAAATCAAATAAGAGAAACTTTAGAATGGGAATAATTATTTACTGTAGAAACAGAATACTAAACACCCAAAGCACTGGTGCAGATACAAAAACCAGGCGCTTAATGTGAAGAGAACACAGGCTTTCGTCTGAGGTATTCACTCCTCCATAGCATATATCCAAAGCAGCGATTGTTTAGCATTAGATTCCTCTCTGACTGGCTCTTATAACCCCCATGGGGGTTATAAGAGCCGGTCAGTCGGTCAGCATAGATATTCAATTCTAAGGAAACTTTAACTAAAATCATTACCTTCTGCTATCTTGACAAAACATTATAGAACTATGGCTTAGAATGGAGATGGAATGTAGCAGAGAGGAGTGCCCAGCCTGCAGAGAACAGTGAGGGGAGCTAAAATCCAATTCAATTGCATTCAGAAATACTTCATTAACCCCAAAGGGAAAATAAATATTGCAGTAACTCATATTTTCTTTTTTGTCTGTTTTTTCTTCTTTTTTTTTTTCATCGAGTTGTTGTTGGTGTTTATAGCTGAAGGGAGAAAGAACCCTCTGTAGCGGTCTGTCTTGCTCCAAATCTGTAGAAAGCCTCTGATTAAATAATATTTTGAAGTGGGAAAATGAAGAATTCTTCTTTGTGAAATAATCTCCAGAGGTTCTAGAGGAGTTCCTAGAACGGAGCCAGCATTTTTAATTAACTTGTTGAGCTTTTGAAAGGAATTTGCTCTGATGCTGTTTCCCCAGCAGATGATGGAGGAAGAGATCACACTCTCCACAACAGACTGATAGAAGATCTATAGCATCTTGCTGCAAATACTAAAGGACTTAAGCTTCCAAAGGAAGTACAATCTCCTCTGTCCCTTCTTGTAGACGGCTTCACAGCTGAGTCTTCAGTCTAGTTTAATGTCAGGGTGAACAACAAGGTATTTATACTCCTCCATCACCTCCACTTCTTCTCCCATAATGTGAGCATGATTGAACGTGCTGTTTCTTCTGAAATCTACAATCATCTCCCCTGTGTTGTTGATATTCAGGATCAGATGACTGTTTCCACACCATGTCATAAGCAGTTCACTGCCTCCCTGTACTAAGCTTCTTGTCCATAAAGGTTATTGGAGTGTTCCTAACAAGGATGCACAATATATCGCCATAAATATTTGTATCAGCCAATGTTGCACTGCAAAAACTGATCTCAAAATAAGAAATTCTTAAAATAAGTAAATTTTCCCTTAACTTAAACTGGTCAATAAGAATATCCACCAACAGAAAGAGTATTTTTGTCCTGTAATAAGATATAAGATATTATGCACTTATTAGATACAATGCACTTTAAATAGGGTAAATGAGTTTTCTTATTTTAAACATAAAATATCTAATTTCATTTGCAAATTGTCTTACCTGCTCAAATCAAGGGAAAATATATATTTTTTAAGGAGAATCTGACTTAGTTATCTTTTAATTCTTCGCAGTGGTCATCTTTAAGCATACTGATATCGCACCGATAATCAAAACTGGGCCGATATTAACAACCAATATTTAATTCCATGTAATTGCTGTTTGTGTTTTATGAAGGAGACAGGATGGGATTGGTCATGTGGTATTTATTTGGTCATGTGACTTGGTTGTTATGCAGCTCAGGTTAGAGAAGTGGTTCATATTCATTTTGTCCAATAGGTGGAGAAATATATGATAAATGATATCGGTAAATATTGGTTATCAGATTTAGCATTAATACTAATACTGGATATCTATATCGACAAAGATTTTCATATCGCCGCATCCTTAATGTCAACCCCTCTGTCCTGCATCTGTTTCATAGCTGCTGCATAAAGGAAACAAAGAACATTAAAACCGCGAGCGATATTGACGGCCCTCGCAGCTCAGCGCCGCTCGGCCTATCGCGACCGCAGGAGCCGAGCGACCGCCGCCCCCTTGCTCCTTCCGAGCCAGCGGAAAAAGCTCCACGCTTCACCTCTGGACCAGCAGGAGACAACCACAGCATTGGTCAGGAAGGGTTAAAATAGGGATAAAAGATAATATCTGGGACGAATCTCATCTGTCAGATAGACGCTGCGGCCATCTCAGTTGGTGGGTCAAAAGTATATGTTCAAAAGAAGGAGAAACAGCATCCTCAAACTCCATGGTTAGCAGTATTACACCCTACTCAAAACTATAAAAAATCATTAAAAATCCATAGTTTGCAGTAAAATCCCGAAGAAAAATCACACATGTCAAGGAATGCATCTTACATATTCTAGAATTTTTTTAGATTATTTACTAATTAATTGAAAGAAAATAAAAATCTTTAAACTTAAGTGCCATATACTGAGGCAGTTGAATACCCCATAAGATGCTCAAACATGCATAGATTCACGCCAAACTTGGCAGACTTTACTATAATCAAAGTATAAATAAATGTTCCAAATTTGGCTAGGATTGCTATAAAACCTTTTGAAAAACAACAATTTCCTATTAAAACAAACTTTTGAAAAATCAGAGTGACGGACTTTTAAGAAGAGCTATGCTGTGTTTACCATCAAACAAGAAGCAATTAAAGGAATATATTCCAAAAGTCCTAGCTTTTTTGAGAAATCGACTGATTTTTTAGAAATATTTTAACAAAGTGATTCTATTTTCAAACGGGTACCGTTTGATTCAAAATGGCCGACTTCTTGAGAGGTTTAGACCATGGCTCCAATGAAACTTTTTGTAGGTGGGGGGCTCATACAGATGTGTGCCAAATTTCATTATCCTAGGAATGAGCATGGCTAGGGGCTGAATTATTTCCTAGCATTATCTGTCCACTTGGCCAACTACTAGGCGAGAACGCAAACTTTTGAAAAATCAGAGTGACGGACTTTAAAGAAGCGCTTTGCTATTGTAACCAACTTACAGCAGGCTTTATAAAGAACATATTTTGAAAGTTTTAGCTCATTTGGATAAAATACTGATTTTATACAATTTTTTGAAAAGAGGTCAGTGCTTTCACAACAGAGTAAAATGTAATTCAAAATGGCCGACTTCCGGTCGGGTTTACACCATGGCTCCAAGAGGCTTTTAGTTAGGGCCTGATAAGATGCAAATGTGTTCAAAGTTTCAATATTCTAGGACTAAAAACGGCTTGGGGCTGGTGGTTTGAACTTTGTTATTTCTAAGGGGCGCTGTAGGAAAATTAAGCCCCGCCCACAAAATATTGCTCTGGATTCCTGTTTGGAGTTGGACTAGGATCATCTTTTGTGATTTTGGTGCAGATCTGATTATTAATAAGGAAATGAGAGCCAATCGTATTTTCATGGCGAAACGCCTCACTTCGCCATGGCGCCACGGCAACACCATTTGACTAAAGCTCTCTGTGCCTTAAACGAAGTTAGGACAACATGTTGTCTGTCTGCTGACACAGTTTTAGGTTGATGAGGTCAAGTAGGACAGAGAGGGACCATTCCAAGTAAAAAACGCGACTTCCGGGGCGTGGCTTCAATTATGTAAAAGTTTTAACATACAGTTTTGTTGGGAACCAAGAGAGGAATAATACTACCAGGTTTCGTGTCATTTCAGTTTCATATGTAAAAGTTATTGCATTTTGAAAATTTTGGCGAGTACGCCAACTTCGAGGCCTGGCCACACCCCTTTAAAATGCTGGAAAACTCAAAAAGTTTGATAAGTTTAGATCTCACATGCCTTATCTGCATACATGCCAAGTTTGAAGCCTATGGCTCACCGTCCCTAGGAGGAGTTCGCGAAAGTTCGACGTCAACAAAATTGAAAAAGTGCCAAAAATCGGCCTTTGAGCCGAAATGGCTGACTTCCTGTAGGTTTTAGAGCATACCCATATTGTAACTTTTTTCATGATTTGGTGAGATCTTTGCACCTGCCAAATTTCAAATCTCTGTGACTTACGGTTTTCCCCAACTCACGTGAGGGGGCGCTGTAGAGCCATTTGGCCACGCCCATTTTTGATTCCATTATCATACGTAAATTTCACTAGGGGGACAATTTACTGCGAAGTTTGGTGAGTTTTTGAACATGCTAAAGCCCCCAAAAAGCCGTTTCATTTAAGCGGAGAAAAAAAAAAAGAATAAACGATACAGGAACAATAGGCCTTCGCAGCGGTGAGCTGCTCGGGCCTAATTATCAGTAATAGTGCAGCAGATGTTACTGTTTCTTTATATGGTGGATTTATCAATTTGGTTTTTAAATAAATATGTTTTGTGCCCTAATCTGTCCTGAAAAGTTGTCTTGATTTGTTAAAAATGAATTGCCCTCTAGTATGTTTGAAAGCAGCTTAAACAAATTTGCATGTTTTTTTCTGGAGAATTTTAAATGATCCACCATGAATGTAGGCCAAACATACCCCATGGAGCCAAAGTCTGCAGAAATCAACATGCTCTTCATGTAGGTACACATGATAGGGACTTCAAGCCGGATTCTTGGGACCTCTACCCTTCCAGCTTCAGCAGTGTACGGATCCATGGCGTTAAACAGGGTCACGGATGCGGTATAAGTGGTTTCATTCTAGAAATTAAACAAAAATTGCATTCTTAAGCCCCTGTCACAGCTTGACGAGTTAGCCAGCGTATGCCTGATGTACGAGAAATCTGGCAAAAACGCTGGCTTATAAGTTATGAGCAGGCTGAAGTACGGTATGCTGAAACATGCTGGCACACATCGACATACGGAGAGTAGGTCTTGATGTATGCCAGCGTATGCCATACTTAGGCCATAATCTGATGGTTGACATACGTTAAGTGTAAGTTAACCATAGTCGGGGTGTCTAGCTTATCAAAATCTATGACTAACTTGTGCATAACTTATCAGGAACTTATCTCCAACGCATTTTAACGTATTTGACGTGTTCCAGTCGACCGCCGAACGTGTTTCTAATTTACAAATGGGGTTTGCAAAAGGAAACCGTAAGCTCTCCTCCAGACTTCCTCCCTATCATTGGGTGAGCGAGAAGGTGAGGAGGTTGATCCTCCCTGCAGTCACGCCCACGGCCAATATACTTTTTTTGGGTGGGTGGCAAACAGCAGCTAGGTTAATACCGCGATCAAAGACACATTTTTATGCAGGCTAGGCGCCTCCAGGTGCATTGCTGCCTCCAGCAGGACACTGGCTTGACATTTCATTGACATTATGCTGCCTTTCGTTGTGCATAAGTTAGGCTGTCATTGGACATACACTATATTGCCAAAAGTATTTGCTCACCTGCCTTGACTCACATATGAGCTTAAGTGACATCCCGTTCCTAATCCATAGGGTTCAATATGACGTCGGTCCACCCTTTGCAGCTAGAACAGCTTCAACTCTTCTGGGAAGGCTGTCCACAAGGTTTAGGAGTGTGTTTATGGGAATTTTTGACCATTCTTCCAGAAGCGCATTTGTGAGGTCGCACACTGATGTTGGACGAGAAGGCCTGGCTCTCAGTCTCCGCTCTAATTCATCCCAAAGGTGTTCTATCGGGTTGAGGTCAGGACTCTGTGCAGGCCAGTCAAGTTCATCCACACCAGACTCTGTCATCCATGTCTTTATGGACCTTGCTTTGTGCACTGGTGCACAGTCATGTTGGAAGAGGAAGGGGCCAGCTCCAAACTGTTCCCACAAAGTTGGGAGCATGGAATTGTCCAAAATGTCTTGGTATGCTGAAGCATTCAGAGTTCCTTTCACTGGAACTAAGGGGCCAAGCCCAGCTCCTGAAAAACAACCCCACACCATAATCCCCCCTCCACCAAACTTTACACTTGGCACAATGCAGTCAGACAAGTACCGTTCTCCTGGCAACCGCCAAACCCAGACCCGTCCATCAGATTGCCAGATGGAGAAGCGCGATTCGTCACTCCAGAGAACGCGTCTCCACTGCTCTAGAGTCCAGTGGCGGCGTGCTTTACACCACCGCATCCGACGCTTTGCATTGCACTTGGTGATGTATGGCTTGGATGCAGCTGCTCGACCATGGAAACCCATTCCATGAAGCTCTCTGCGCACTGTTCTTGAGCTAATCTGAAGGCCACATGAAGTTTGGAGGTCTGTAGTGATTGACTCTGCAGAAAGTTGGCGACCTCTTCGCACTATGCGCTTCAGCATCCGCTGACCCCGCTCCGTCAGTTTACGTGGCCTACCACTTCGTGGCTGAGTTGCTGTCGTTCCCAAACACTTCCATTTTCTTATAATACAGCTGACAGTTGACTGTGGAATATTTAGGAGCGAGGAAATTTCACGACTGGATTTGTTGCACAGGTGGCATCCTATCACAGTTCCACGCTGGAATTCACTGAGCTCCTGAGAGCGACCCATTCTTTCACAAATGTTTGTAAAAACAGTCTGCATGCCTAGGTGCTTGAATTTATACACCTGTGGCCATGGAAGTGATTGGAACACCTGATTCCAATAATTTGGATGGGTGAGCAAATACTTTTGGCAATATAGTGTATGCTCTGGACCCGTATGTATACGACCAAAACTGAATAAAATACATAGAAATTTCAGCGTATGTCAGCATTTTAGAAGATTCTGGGATGTCGGGCATACGCTGGCTAAATCGTCAAGGTGTGACAGGGGCTATAGGGTTTATCCAGTGTTCAGGTAAATGAGACTTACATGCACAAGCCTGGTATCACACTCATCCCACGCCACAGTCAGCTGGACATGGCTGGCATTGCCTCCGTTGACCCCACATCCTGCCATTCCCAAGTACAAAGCACCCTCCTGGATGTTTGCTCTCAACATAAAAGCCTTAGAAAGAGTCACAGTAATGGCAGCTACTCTGCACTGCACTGAAAGGGCTCCTGACAAAGAGTAATTAGCCAGTGATATCAGAGCAGAAGAAGGGGTTGTTAGCATCGTAGAAGAGGGGCTTCTGGTAGAGGTAGTTGAAGTGTTCGTTGTTGGAGCAACAGTGGAGATCACTTGGATAGGAGTTATGATGTCTGTTGTACTGATTGTAGATCCAGTAACAGCTGTTATGGGAGTGACAGTCATTGGATTGGTAGAAGGGATTGCTTGCATAGACGTAATTCTTGGGGTGTTGGTGAAAGCTGTAGAGGGGATTGCTGGTGGAACATTAACAACAGGAGTTGGGGCGATAACACTTGTTTGGACAGTAACTGCAGAGGCAGTGTAGACTGTCATCGATGGATCTGCTGTTGATGGGAAATTATCAGCTGCAGCTGTCAGGGTTTGTGTGTTAATGGGAGAAGCATTTGCACTAGTTAACAAGGTAGAGTTGGTAGTTATAGAGGTGGTAGTGGACTGAACAAAGGTTGGAACAGTTGTAAAGTGCATTCTAGTAGAAACTCCTGGTGCTGATGCTGAATCCACTGTATCATTTGCTGCAGAGGTCAGAAAGCATCCATGAGAAAACATGAAGATGTTCAAATATTATCAGTCATTAAATTTGTGAATTTTCCCACAATACTCCACCTTGACAGTTGTGTCCAGGTCTATCTGGGTTATTGTCTATTAATCCTTCATTGCATATGCAAGTGTAGGAGGCCCATGTGTTTATGCATGTAGCCCACTGAGAACAATCATTTTCTGCTGAGATGCATTCATCAGAATCTGTTAAAAAAAAATTATGCTTTGATCATTAAAACCCTGAGGAAGGAAGGAAGGAAGGAAGGAAGGAATGAAGGAAGGAAGGAAGGAAGGAAGGAAGGAAGGAAGGAAGGAAGGAAGGAAGGAAGGAAGGAAGGAAGGAAGGAAGGAAGGAAGGAAGGAAGGAAGGAAGGAAGGAAGGAAGGAAGGAAGGAAGGAAGGAAGGAAGAATACGTTATTAAGATGGAAATCCATTTTATATGCTTTATATGGTTTTTGTTCCTCTTAAATATTAGCGTGGCGCTTTTTAAAAGATAAAACAGTCATACCATGAATGCGTGTGTTATTTACATCCAGAATGAATCTGGAGCTGTTCATCAGGGAAAGCATGATGGCGGAGGACACATTGTCTGAGGCCTGGTCTGGATTTTGGTTGAAGATTATGGAGAAGTTCACCAGCACACTGCCTGGGGAGAAGCTTTGGATCTCAATCCTCACCTGACCTGAATCCACCATAGCTTTGAGCTCTGGAGCCAGAGACTGGTAGATCTGTTGGTAAGTTCAGAAACAGACAAAACGTTTCCATATAAAAGATGATGACTCATGCATTATATTTAAACGCACTTTAAAAGAGAACCTTTAAAAGTGCTAAATCAGGAATAAGAGTATTTCACTGTACAAGACGGACAAATTGTTAATTATAAACAATAACTCAGCTGTAGAAGTGGTTAGCAGCACCAAATTCTTGGGGGTACACGTCACAGACACCTTCAACTGGACTGTAAACACCACCTCACTGGTCAAAAGGGTACAAAAGTGCACTTCCTGTGGAGGATGAGGAGAGCCCATCTGCCCCCACCCATCCTCACCACCTTCTACAGAAGCACCATAGAGAGCGTTCTGAATATTTCATCCAAGCCCGTAACATCATTAATGACCCCTAACACCCCCACCATGGACTGTTCTCCCTGCTGCCCTCTGGGAAGAGGCTTTGCAGCATTTAATGTCAGTCCAGCAGATTCTGCAACAGCTTCTTCCCACCAGCATCATACAACTGAATGTTGAAAAAAAACTCTAAATCATGTCAGACTCTGCATCAAACTGACAACATCAAACCAAAACACTGCATATTTGCACCATATATATCTAATGCTCTGAACTTCCATATCAATGCGTTTTTTTTGCGCCATGTCTCTCCTTCAACACTGTTTACATTTGATCACTGCTGCACTTTATGGAATGGAAATGTTCTGAAAAGCTTTACTAAATGAAATTTCATTTTGTATACACTCTGTGTATACAAAATGACAATAAAGTTTGTCTAAGTCTAACTCTAACTGCAGGTAGAGTTAATCACAAGCATCTAAGATATGTTTGTTATTAAAATAACGCATTATTAATAATAATTTTTATGTAAAATTATTAATAATATTCACAATCAAATCCATATAACCACATAACATTTGATAGACCCGAGCTGGATTCTGCTTATTGACAGGTTTCCTATTGATCCTTCTGGTTGGTGATCAGTTTTCTGTTGGAAAATCCACCTAACTGATGAAGAGGGTTTATGACAGAACTTCAGCGGAAAACAGAAGACCGAGCAACACAACAGAAAGGGCAGGGAGAAGGTTTGCAGGGATGTGAACCTCCTAACATATTGCAGTCCACCTAAACCAACAGGCTGAGCAAGGAGAGCTGTAGTGAAGAGAGAACCGAGAGCAATTCTGGAGAGGATGAAGAGATCCACATCTCGGGTGACAGGACAGTCTTTGAAAGATGTTTGGAAGATGGCTAGAGATAAATACATGACGGTCCTAAAAGAAAAAAAAGAAAAAAACAGGGACCAGGGCAGCACAAGGACTTGATAATGAGCAGTAGTTAAAGGTATAGAGGTCGATCTTTCATTTCTGGGTGGATCATCTAAATAAGTGGTCCTCCTAATTGTCAATCATTCAGGTGAAATGTTTACGTAAGGCCATCCTACATGCTCATCACATTAGCGTTTTTCTGTGGTTGATTTACGGACAGTCATTGAAACTCACCTTTCTCACCGTGGCTCTTTAAAAATGGCCGAGGGTCATAAGAGAAAGTGTCTACGAAGTGTATGACAAGAAAAGAAAGGCCTCAGAAGAGGCAGATATATCCCAGAATGCTTTGTGCGGAGAGCTCTCCTCGCAAAGCATTATGGGATTTGCTGTCACAGCGGCCCGCTGTGGCCATAGGCTGCCCCTACCCGACAGCAGCGACTAATAACAAACATGGCGCAGGCACCGTGCGGTGGAGGAGGAGTTACGTAACAGCAGTGATCGTCTGTTCGAATGTTCAGTTAACTGGGTTCGCTATAAAGTTCATTATATAGTCCCCACTGTATGTGGACACAGTAAGATTGTATGAGCTATAAGAACAGCACATTTTAAACAGGGCATTCATGAGGAGAAATGGGGTTGTGCATGCTCTCACTCGCGCATTTTTTTAAAGTGGAGTACCTTTAGCATTCTCCAAGCCTAAGTTTACTAAAGCTCAAATTGAATTGTTTTCATTGAAACATTTCCATGTGTTAGAATGGTCTAGTCAAAGTCTAAACCTTAATGTAACTGAAGATTTGAAACAGATAAGATGGTGAGGCAGCATCCTCTCAGATTGAAGATCTGTTTTTGTTAAGCATAAACTTTTTCTTCAAAGCTGAAAGTCATGATACCTTTCTAACAGAGGTCATCTTCATCCCTCTGTAGGATCGTGCTCCATACTCATCTGGTCTTAAACTCAATAAAAACAACTAAGAAGGATGGAGAGGGAAATAAACAAAAAAGATGTTGCTTCTGAAAAGGCCAACTCCCCAACATGATGCATATTTCACCCCAGTATTCTAGAGCAACAGGTAAAAAGCTATTTGAAGTGACTGAATCGAATTATGGTGCTTCTGGCAGCTGAGATTTACTATCTAGATTAGGAGGGTTTTGGTAAATCTTTAGTTTTTGAAGAGCTGATTCACGCATGTATGAACTCAAATGCCAGGCTTAAGATAATACTCTCCTCATGCAAAAATGATTGATTCTAGTCTTGCAATTAGATCAGCAGTGTATTTCTCCTTCTCACCCTTTGTTGTTGATATACTGTTTTAAAAAAAAATAGGAACCCAACAACCTGCAAAGAAAACTTTGGTGATAGGATGTTTAAATAATCGTGACATTCACACTGATGATGTAAATTCCTGACAGGAAATACATATTTAAAGATGACATTTAAGCACACCTACCTCTTGTATAAACGTCACAGTTAGGTTTTTGTAGGCCTGGCTGCTGCTGTTTGTCAGGTCTTCGCTGAACTCGATGTTGGTAAGTCGTGTTGTGGCATCCAGAGTCTGAGCATCTACAACAAAAAGACTTCTTTGTCAGAGGAACTCATTTTTTCACGCTCACCAAAGACATTGAGGTTAAAACCCATCTAAATATCATTGCATAGAGATGTCCAAAAAGGACTGGGACAAACTGGATTGATTTAAAAGTTATGTTTCCATTCTTAGCCAACATCATAGCCTAAAATAATTACTTACTTTTCTAGCTTTCAAAGGCTTCCATTAGATTTCAATAAAAACATTTAATTGTTTGTATTTCAGGAGTCCATTATGCTGTTCTTACCAGTTTTGATCATTATATGGACAGAAGATCCTCTCCTTCCACAAGCACAAGGTGTCACAGTCACATTGTAGAGCACCCCAGGCTGTAGTCCTCTGATCTCTATCATCATCATGCTGGTTTCCCACATCTCACTGACCTCTGAAGATTTGCTTAAAGTGATCTGGAAAGTCAGGTTGATTTGAACAGTGGTTGACCAGCAGACAGACACGGAGGTTCCAGTGACGTTGGCCGAGCACAGACCTCTGATGCGTGGAGGACCTGGTGTGGGGTTTATTGAAAGAGAGAATGTAGGTGGTAAGCTTCTATGCTTATCTTTTATACATATATATTTTTTTAAAATATAAGGTAATCAGATGAGTAGATTGCTTTACTCATCAAGTGGAAACAATAAATACACCACCAGTGTTGGGCACGTTACTTTGAAAAAGTAATTAGTTATAGTTACTAGTTACTTCTACCAAAAAGTAACTGAGTTACTAACTGAGTTACTCCACAATAAAAGTAACTAGTTACTAGTAAAAGTAACTATTGCGTTACTTTTGCGTTTCTCGCCCCCGTAACCCTCACCACCCAGCCCCCACCTTCTCGCCGTGTGTTTCCAAAGCCAGCTGAATAGAGCGGACGACAAAGACAAGAACCTGCAGAGAGTTAAGCATTTATTGCAACTCAACGTAAATGACATCAGGGGGGAACGCCATGTGAAGTTTTATAACAGGACATTCAGATCTGGTGAGTATATGAACTTAATAACTGGGGATGTCTCATTCTGAAATCCTGTGTGTTTGGGTTGTTATAGATACTGCAACATCTATCTATCCATCTATCTATCTAGATTCTAGATGTATACTCTGTGTGTGACATAAAATTTGGATCTCCATCCCTGCCACAAAGGCCATCAAATAATGTTTAAAATAAAAAATACAGTAGGTTGAAAAGGCAGAGTATCCATCCATCCATCCATCCATCCATCCATCCATCCATCCATCCATCCATCCATCCATCCAGATTTCTCCCTTTCTCGATATAGGGTAATGATCGTTCACGCTCTCCATAGTTCTCCTGTGGCGCGAAGCGCTCGCGAAGCGCTCGCGAAGCTGCGTGAAGCTGACAACCCACCCACGTCAAAAAACTCTGCAAATAGACTGAATGGTTAGTGCAACGTTAGTGCAGATTTGTGCAGAAAAAATATTGTTTGTTCTACTTTTGTTTAAGAGATATTAAAGATTACTTTTTAGGTCATCCAGAGGTCACCATCCCCCCATTAAATTCCAATTTGAACCAAAATGGTCTCCTTTTTTAGTGCTTCGTTTGTGCTGATTTGTGCAGTTAAACGGTCATTTGTGCTATTTTAGTTTTTTAAGATATAATCATTTAAATTTTTGGCTGATGACGTCACCATCCCCCCATCAAGCTCCGATTTGATCCAAAGTGGTCTCTTTTTTTAGTGCTTCGTTTGTGCTGATTTGTGCCGTAAAACCAACATTTGTGCTGCTTTACTTTTTAAGATATAATCATTTAAATTTTTGGCTGATGACGTCACCATCCCCCCATCAAAAGTAAAGCAGCACAAATGTTGGTTTTAACGGCACAAATCAGCACAAACGAAGCACTAAAAAAGGAGACCACTTTGGATCAAATCAGAGCTTGATGGGGGGATGGTGATGTCATCAGCCAAAAATTCAAATGATTATATCTTAAAAACTAAAAACTAAAAACTTAAAAACTAAACCAAGGTAACAGCGTTAGTAACACCGTTACTTTCAACGCCGTTAGTCCCATCTCTGTACACCAATATGATTATTTCAACATATTGTTTGGTCATGTAGTTATTTGTAAAAATACGTCAATCCATATCAGTACATTAATTGATTAACGATCCAATTAGTTCAATGCAAAATGAAAACATCTCCTTATATTGCCCTATTTTGAAATGTAGATGAACGTGTTGACAGGGCAGACTTTATCGCACCGTATACATGATTTTACATGGACATGTAAAAGGAAGTGAAAGGAAATCCTACTACAACAGAAATGTGATATCAGCAAATATTGTATTGTTAGGATAATTATCCCTGATGATGTCCGAGTTTATTACACCCTGATATTCCCTGCCTGTTGTGTTTCAGAACTGATGTTTTCGCCAGAAGTTTATCTAATTAGGACAGTTCCTCTGTCAGGATTTGCAGTTATCATCATTCTGTGGCAAAGTTTTGGGAATGGAATGAGAGCGGCGTCCTTGAGCTAAGAACAAAGGGTAACATTTTGATAAGGCTGGAGCCATGGATGTTTCTTTATATGCAAACCTGTATGTATTGATGTAATGATGTGGCAGACTGGTGATGTATAAAATGCTCCACGGTTTATTGGGGCCACTTCCTGAGAAGTTAGACCTGTTGGTAAGCAGCTGCCTTCTGTAACTCTAAGCAACTTCTCTGATCTAAGTGAGATTACAATTTCTATCAAAATCTGTTGTCATGTCTCCTGGTTATTTGATACATATTTATAATGCAGTGTTATTTAAAGAGTTGGTGGCGAGTGGTCTCTTTTCAGAAAAAAAAGAACTGTAGAGAGAAACCTTCAAGATGTAAATACAGAACTTTACTTTAATGGTATCTTCAACCAAACAACCCAATCCAACATTGTATCATGATAAAGGTGGTGATTTACACCCTTAATAATCAGCGTCTTCCTTTTTATCGAAGTTTGGCTTGTTTTTTATAACAAAGCTGTGTTCCTGCTTGATTAGTAGTTACAAAAAGTCATCTCACATATATTGCATATGTACTGCTTATGATGATGTGATGTTGGTACTTTTCATGTGTACTTGGATAAGTGATGTAAAGTTTACAGTTAGTCTCTGCGTCAGGAGGCAGTCCATACCTTCGCTGTGATTTTTACTTTATTTTGCTTGCCTAATCATCTAATAAAGCTTTAGTGCTCTAAACTCAGTCTATTAGTGCTTCCAACGACTCAGCTACTAACTCACTGAAGTATTAGACAATGATTCCCAATTTATACTACCTTGGCTTAGCATTTCTAGATATGAAATAATATTACTCATTCAATGCATTTCCCTAGAGTTTCAGGTTTGCAGCAGTGGTGCATATTTTGTAGTGTCTGAAAGGTATGCTGTTCATGCCACTAAACTGTGTCCAAAATTTCTGTCAGCCTCAATTGGCTGAGAACCAGTTGGGAATCTTACAAATTTAAAGCGTTAGCTACTAACTTGGTTGATTTTGGCTCCCCCTAGTGAATAAAAGCTGTATTGTTTTCCTTAAAGGGATAGTTCGGGATTTTTGACATGAATCTGTATGGCATCCCCATCACCAGTGTCATGCAATCACACTGACTTACCCCTGGCAGCATCCTGTGAGCAGAGTTCTCGTCCAGCTTTGGTCAAGCCGAAAGTAGTCCGGCAGGTTTGCTAGACCCAGCGAAATAAAACGTTTCTCTTCCCAAAACATTATGTGTTCAAAAGAGTGATATTTTTGCATCCCAAAAACATTGTAGTGGAAAAAGTCACACGTCGTTATCACTTGGTCCAATTTTCTCTCTGTTCGTATCAGTGCGCGCGACACCATGACCTGACAGCTAGGGCCTACTAACCTGACAACAGCCAGATGCATGTCTCGCTCCGCCTAGGCATGCATCTGGCTGTTGTCAGGTTAAGGGCCTACCTGTTTGATTCGCGATTGTTTACTACTGGGGAAGATGTCTGACTACGAGAGCGACGAGGAAAACATCGACTTCCACTTAGAGCCAAAGGGATATCTTTATGAACCCGAGTACACTGACGATGAACTTCGACAAATGGAGTTAGATCGGGCAGAAAGAGAGAGGGTGGACAGAGAAGTGATGGAAGCTGAAGCCGGAGCCGCAGGAGCCTCAGCTGGAGCTGCAATATCCAGGGTGGCCGACATATCATGGTGCACTTGTTTCAAGTGCGAATTAATGCAGACAGAGGTGGAATGCTACTGTTGCCACGAGTGGGATTTAGTAATGCCCGAGATACAGAACCTTTCCATTGATGAGGATGTCGGAGTTGCAGCAGCTGCTGTCTGCATCACAAACAACAGCGACTTCCCTGCCCTCCTCAAAGTTGAGCTTGCTGTCAGAATGACGGCGCGCACTGATACGAACAGAGAGAAAAATGGGACCAAGTGATAACGACGTGTGACTTTTTCCACTACAATGTTTTTGGGATGCAAAAATATCACTCTTTTGAACACATAATGTTTTGGGAAGAAAAACGTTTTATTTCGCTGGGTCTAGCAAACCTGCCGGACTACTTTCGGCTTGACCAAAGCTGGACGAGAACTCTGCTCACAGGATGCTGCCAGGGGTAAGTCAGTGTGATTGCATGACACTGGTGATGGGGATGCCATACAGATTCATGTCAAAAATCCCGAACTATCCCTTTAAGGAAGACAACATTTCCCATGAGGAGCAGCATGGTAAAAAACAACAGTGGTAAAATCCTGATCTCCAGGTCACCTGTTGTTGGATTGAACTGCATGTCTGTTTCTAGTGGCTGTGTGAATTAGGTAATATAATATAACATAATAATTAGGAAATAAGGTAATAAATCTAACTGAAGAAACAATTTCATATGATGAAGTTGAAAATAAGATTAGACTCATCAGCGACTGATGTATTGATAGGTTTAGAGCCTTGAAACACATAAATATAATGTTCTGTTCGATAGTTTCACAGTAAATACATGTATAGATCCCAGCAAGAACAAGCCTGCACAATTTGCACAAATATACAGACCGTCAGGGATCAACTTCTGTCTTTATAACGAATGGGGAAATGAGGAAGTGACGTATGCCGTAAAGCAGTCTGCACATTTGTAGCTGTTTTGTGTGTCCTGGTTATGCAACCCTCCTCATAGTTGCTTAGTGTCAGTGAAAGCAGCACAGACCTCCTCAGGCCATGATAGAGGTGTCATTCAACTAGTTGCAAGCCCATGTATAATCACAAAAGTTATGGAAATATTTTATGAAGGTTGAAAAGTTACTTAGTGTTGGGTTCATACCTGGAAAGGAGAAAATTGAGTTTTAATTACCAAGAGTCACACACACACATCTTCATATTTAAATGAAACAGAAAGAAGATACACTTGCATTGTGTAACTTCATAAAGCATGCTCCGTGATGCCAGACCAGTAAGTTAGTCAGGCTATAAATATCTAACAATGGAACTAGGTTTGAAACTCTTGGCAAATAACTCTAAACTGCATTCTCACGACACAAAGA